GATTAAAACATTACTGGTAAAATACAATTCAACAAGCCAGCGGTTTATTTTTCCTCTTTTAACTAACATCAAGTTTTAACACTGAGAAAAAAAAATAGTAAAAAGCAGGTTGGTGATGAGCGAGGATGCTAATTAACAGTGTTTAAAGTAGACAGGTGAACCAGGATAGTGTTAATAGAAAGGGCATAAAGTGTTATACCACGATAAAAACATACGTGTATATTTAGACAAGGTTATATCGCGGTGGCTGGAGGTACACTCACTCACTCACTCACTCACAGACTCACTCACTTCAAAAAACTATCTGTACTCGGGGTGATCGATGAGCTTCAGAATGAACACTGTGACTCCTGTTGTCTCGGTAGGGTTGTCAAAATCCTTCGTCCGTTGTGTCATATTTTTTCAACACAATTTGGTATAGATAATTTTTTTGTTTAGTGATTTCACACACACGCAAACACAGACCTGTGGCGTCCCCCAAGGCACCAAGATGGGACCACTATGCTCCCTTATGCTTATCAATGATGCTCCAAGAGAAAACCCTGCTCACTGGAAATAATCGACGACTCCACCATTGGGATCAGTGTCAACAATTCTGCTCCCGACTGTACCGCCCTCCAGGATTTATTGAACAGTCTCCAAAACTGGGTCACCAACAACCACGTCACCATCAACCATAAGACCATGGTTATGCACTTCAACCTCTCTTTCGACGTTGTTCCAACCCCTTCCATTACTTTAGGTCCCAACACACTCCAGGTTGTAGACTCCACTAAGCTCCTCGGCGTCACCGAAGACAACAAACTAAATTGGAAAACACACGTCAGTGAAGTTGTCAAATCCTCCAGTTTCCGTCTCCACCTCCCCCGCCGACTCAAGTCCCTTGGAGTTCCTGGCCCGAGCTCCTCAGTGTTTACTCAACACTCATACTTCCCAAGCTCACCTATGCCTCCCCTACCTGGTCTTCCTCCCTAAATGCCACACAACGTAAACACCTAGAAAAAGTGCAAAAGATGGCATGCAAGATTATTCTCTCCCCTTCCTACTCCACAACTGCATCCAGCGCATACGAGCATGAATGATCGCTATAAGAACAGCCCAGTCCCAACCATTGTAAAAATTATCAATAACTTGTAATCAACCAGTGTATTCACTCCCAGTAAATACTACTTCTTGCACTGTCACTATGTTGAAATGCCCTGTAGTTTGAGCTTCTCCCGACCTAGTTATTATATATCGTATTTATATCACTTATGTTACTTGTATATTATTTGTAACTCAAGAGACCCATTCCCCAATTATGTAAATGTAAATTTTCAACCTTCCCTCTGCCATGCTCTTTCAATAAACCGTTAATTATTATTATTTTACATTACACACAAACACACACCCGCGTTACCAAAAAGCCAGAGTTTCTATTTGAGGGTAAATAATAAAGACGATATTTATTCTGTTAATTCAGGTTTACAGACAGTAGGAAGAACTGTTTTTATTTTATATTTAATTTACGGATTTATTCTTATTTGGGATATAAAGCATATTTGGGTGTAGCTCCTCGTGGTGTTGGACGAGAGTAAATACCTCACAGGGAGAGAAAAGGTGAGGGGCAAACACAGGTAGAGAGAGAGAGAGAGAGAGTCTCAGGTCACCTTCACGGTTCACCCTCAAGGTGGTGGCAGTGAAGGAGTGCCACCACCACACAGGCAGCTAGTTGTCAGTGCCACCACCACACCTGAGAGTGATCTGCCAGGCGCTATTGTGTAAAACGCCAAGAGCAGACACGAAAGACATCAGGCACTGAACTCTTGAGGTTTAAGATACTAGGCACTAAGAGTGATAGGAATTTAAGGTGCCACCAGCAGAGATCTAGGGTGCCAGGTGTTGTGATTAAACAATGCACCGGTTGCTGTGATTTAGGTGCCACACGCTGAGAGACAGTGTAAACAGGCGCTGAGATATAAGAAGTTAGGAACTAAGATTTACGGCGCTAGGAATAAATATCAATGATCAGGTGCTAGATGTTGAGATTAGAGTGCCAAGTTCTGAGAGCTAGTGCCAGGTGCTGAGAGTTAGTGCCAGGTGCTGAGAGTTAGTGCCACGTACTGAGAGCTAGTGCCAGGAGTTGGTGCCGGGTGCTGAGAGTTAGTGCCAGGTGCTGAGAGTTAGTGCCAGGTGCTGAGAATTAAGAGTACTAGATGCTGAAAGTTAATAGTTAGCGAAAAAAAAACAATGAATAGGAAATGTAATAAAAATTATAACATAGGAGAAGACACAAGAATAGAAGGAAGATGAAAGGAAGAAACTAAGTAACATTAAGGTAGAAAAAACAGAGATACAGGAATTACAGAAAATGAGAATAAACGAAAACAAAAAGAGAAGGAAGGTGATAGGGTGATGGAAGGAGATGGAGGAAGGAGGCAAAGGAAAAGAATAAACAAGTGGATAAGAAAAGGAGGTATGGGATAACAGAGGAACGAAGCGAATGAGAGAGAGAGAGAGAGATTCCTTCCAATACTCTCACAGGCAAGATGAAATCAGATCCGTTCATTAACCTTATTGTGGGGTCCTGTACTGGGCTCTGACGTCACAAGAACACAAGTGGTAATGTTATCCTTCCCGAGTGATGACATAATGATGACGTCAATAGTGTCTTCAAAGTTAAGTTAGGTTAGATTAGGTTAGGTTAGGTTAGGTTAGGCAAAAAGTTATCATCACTCGGATCACACAACTGCCGGTGTTACGGTAGCCAGACCAACTCTCTCAGGAACGTCTAAATATTTATCTTTTCGAAGAGTCAGTCGAAGGCCAAATACTGTTTATGGTAACAACTTTACTTTTTATTCAGGATTTATCAATAATTACCTTAAGTGATTTTAGAGGCGAGGTTGGTATTACATTTTACCAATTGTTTTATATCATCATCATCATTCTTATTATTTTGTGAAGTGAGTTGGACTTGGTAATATTAGCATGAATAATATGTAGCGTGGTAGAGTGAAAGTACAATATTTGAAGAAGCTGTGTTATATATAGTTTAGTGTGTTAGATACCTGTGTTGAGTTTAGTGTGTTAGTAATACTGGCGTTAAGTAGTTTAGGAGAATACCTGGCGTTAGTTTATTGTTATTAACCGGCGTTAAGTAGTTTAGTGTGTTAGTTAATACCTGGCGTTAAGTAGTTTAGTGAGTTAGTTAATACCTGGCGTTAAGTAGTTTAGTGTGTTAGTTAATACCTGGCGTTAAGTAGTTTTAGTGTTGTTAATACCGTTAGTAGTTTAGTGAGTAGTTACCTGGCGTTAAGCAGTTTAGTGTGTTAGTTAAACCTGGCGTTAAGTAGTTTAGTGTGTTAGTTAATACCTGGTGTTAAGTAGTTTAGTGAGTTAGATACCGGCGTTAAGTAGTTTAGTGTGTTTATACCTGGCGTAAGTAGTAGTGTGTTAGTTAATACCTGGCGTTAAGTAGTTTAGTGATAGTTTATACCTGGCGTTAAGTAGTTTAGTGTGTTAGTTTATACCTGGCATTAAGTAGTTTAGTGTGTTAGTTAATACCTGGCGTTAAGTAGTTTAGTGAGTTAGTTTATACCTGGCGTTAAGTAGTTTAGTGTGTTAGTTAATACCTGGCGTTAAGTAGTTTAGTGTGTTAGTTAATACCTGGCGTTAAGTAGTTTAGTGTGTTAGTTTATACCTGGCGTTAAGTAGTTTAGTGTGTTAGTTTATACCTGGCGTTAAGTAGTTTGTGTGTTAGTTTATACCTGGCGTTAAGTAGTTTAGTGAGTTAGTTAATACCTGGTGTTACGGTTAGTTTATACCTGGCGTTAAGTAGTTTAGTGTTAGTTTATACCTGGCGTTATAGTTTAGTGTGTTAGTTTATACCTGGTTAAGTAGTTTAGTGTGTTAGTTTATACCTGGCGTTAAGTAGTTTAGTGAGTTAGTTTTATACCTGGCGTTAAGTAGTTTAGTGTGTTAGTTTATACCTGGCGTTAAGTAGTTTAGTGTGTTAGTTAATACCTGGCGTTAAGTAGTTTAGTGAGTTAGTTGATACCTGGCGTTAAGTAGTTTAGTGTGTTAGTTTATACCTGGCGTTAGTAGTTTAGTGTGTTAGTTTATACCGGCGTTAGTAGTTTGTGTTAGTTAACACTGGCGTTAAGTTTAGTGAGTTAGTTGATACCGGCAAGTAGTGTGTTAGTTATACCTGGCGTTAGTAGTTTAGTGTGTTATTTATACCTGGCGTTAAGTAGTTTAGTGTGTTAGTTAATACCTGGCGTTAAGTAGTTTAGTGTGTTAGTTAATACCTGGCGTTAAGTAGTTTAGTGAGTTAGTTAATACCTGGTGTTAAGTAGTTTAGTGTGTTAGTTAATACCTGGCGTTAAGTAGTTTAGTGTGTTAGTTAATACCTGGCGTTAAGTAGTTTAGTGTGTTAGTTAATACCTGGCGTTAAGTAGTTTAGTGTGTTAGTTAATACCTGGCGTTAAGTAGTTTAGTGTGTTAGTTAATACCTGGCGTTAAGTAGTTTAGTGAGTTAGTTAATACCTGGCGTTAAGTACTGTAGCAGCCTTACTCTGAACCATCCCAGGTGTTATCCGCTCCAAGGTGAGGCGGATGTCCGGTGCTAAGTAACGTCGCTACAGGTAAGTGACCAGCCCAGTCCAGTCCAGTCCAGCCCAGCCCAGCCCAGTCCAGTCCAGTCAGCCCAGTCAGTCCAGCCCAGTCCCAGTCCAGTCCAGTCAGTCCAGTCAGTCTTGGTCAGTCAGTCCATCCCAGTCCATCCCAGCACAAGTAAGACCCACTAGCCCAGCTATCTTTGGTCCTACCTCTATCGTTAACACTGTACACCCAAAAGTCCTGAACCATCGCCGTCTCCTGTGCGGTCAGATATTTTACAGGCGTCAGTTCAAGAGGAGACTTATCACCTTAAGACCATTTGGGAAGCACAATTATACTTCAGTGCATGTGGAGGGGTTCATGGGGGGGGGCCTTATTGGTGTGAGGTTTACTGTGGACATATGAGTGATGAGGGCATGACAGAGGTATGTTTGGGCAGCCAGATCTTAATATGTAAAGATCTATGATGAAGCGACTAATACATCATTACTGAAACGAGATAGTGTGTGTGTGTGTGTGTGTGTGTGTGTGTGTGTGTGTGTGTGTGTGTGTGTGTGTGTGTGTGTGTGTGTGTGTGTGTGTGTGTGTGTGCGTGTGTGTGTGTGTGTGTGTGTGTGTGTGTGTGTGTGTGTGTGCGTGCGTGCGTGCGTGTGTGTCCAAATAATATATAATCCCTAGCTTGCTTTAACTCAACTAAATGATCTTAACATAACATACAAATTTCATCTGTTACTTGATCATGTTAAGTGTATATCATCTTCCACCTCACCCTCGAGGCTTAACACATAATAATTCTAAACAATAAACAATAAGACTTGGAATTGCCCCTTGTGTTGAAGACCAAACAAGCAATACAGTAGTTCATCTAGGTATGATTTACTTATTGAAGAAACTGAAGGCTGATAATATCTTCTGTACAAACGAAGGAAAGTTTTAATTCGCAATACTTCAACAGCTTAAAACTTAACTAACGTGTCGGTTAAGCTTATACTGTGCGTCGTGTTTGTTATAGAGACCAATGAACGAGTGTTTCGTCTGGCTAAAATACTTGTGGTTACTGAATATCCCCAAAGTCATTTTATTAGTAAACATTAGAATATTTTAGGAATCATTTTCGTCAGCTCACACTTGTATTCTCACACTCAGGTAATCTTCAACTCATACAGAGATAATTTAAACAACTCTCTAATTACTTAATGGTATAATAACCGACTAATTAGTACACTTAACAATTAATTAGATGAGGAAACACCAATAATTTAAAGCCAACATAATTAAATTTTCTAAGTTATCACCTTAATAGGAATTTACACGTGAACAGTTGGCCAATGATTTTACTCTCGCGGTGCTCCTGAGTGATGTCACCTGGCTCGCTCACCCCCAGCAGGAGCTTCTGCAGGAGATGATGGCAAACACGAGTACCTGATCAATAACGGAGGCGAGTGTTGGCGAGTGTTGGTGAGTGTTGAAGAGACGGACTGTGTTGGGGTGTTGGTTTATTGATTGACTGATTGATTGATTGATTGATTGGCCGATTGACTGGTTTATTGATTGATTGATTGTCTGATTGATTGATTGGTTTATTGATTGATTGGTTGATTGATTTATTGATTGGCTGATTGATTGGTTGATTGATTGGCTGATTGATTGGTTGGCTGATTGATTGGTTTATTGACTGATTGATTGGTTGATTGATTGATTGTCTGATTGATTGGTTGATTGATTGATTGATTGTCTGATTGATTGGTTGGTTGATTGATTGATTGGCTGATTGATTGGTTGATTGATTGATTGTCTGATTGATTGGTTTATTGATTGAAACAGTTCATTTACCCAGAAAAAACACCACCACAACCACCATCCACCCTCTCCACAACCATCATCCACCCTCTCCACAACCACCATCCACCCTCTCCACAACCACCATCCACCCTCTCCACAACCACCATCCACCCTCTCCACAACCATCATCCACCCTCTCCACAACCATCATCCACCCTCCACCCTCTCATCCACAACCACCATCCACCCTCTCCACAACCACCATCCACCCTCCACACCCACCATCCACAACCATCTCCATACCCCCATTCTCCCTCACTCCCACCTCCTCCACCCTGCACCCTCATAACACCCACCACTCTCACTTCCGCTCACCTCCTCCACCCTGCACCCTCATAACACCCACCACTCTCACTTCCGCTCACCTCCTCCACCCTGCACCCTCATAACACCCACCACTCTCACTTCCGTCCACCTCCTCCACCCAGCACCCTCATCACACCACCACCTCACACATCCGCCCATCATCGATAAAGTGCGTCAGAGAGGTCTTCAGAGCGCCAGCTGGCAAAGCGTCACCCAGAGGCGCCACCCCTGTGTATCTTGACCACCATGACGCTGACACCGTAGACGTGATGATGTGACGTGTTGTGTCGTGATGATGTGACGTCGTGTTGGCGTGACGTGTCGTGCTGGCGTGACGTGTCGTGCTGGCGTGACGTCGTGTTGGCGTGTCAGCTATTGTCTCTACTTCAGGTCATCAATTCCACTTCGTGTCATCATCACTTCGTGTCATTATTCCTACTTCGTGTCATCATTCCCTACTTCGTGTCATCATTCCCTACTTCGTGTCATCATTCCTACTTCGTGTCATCATTCCTACTTTAAATAAATTATTCCCTACTTCGTGTCATCATTCCCTACTTCGTGTCACCATTCCCTACTTCGTGTCATCATTCCCTACTTCGTGTCATCATTCCCTACTTCGTGTCATTATTCCCTACTTCGTGTCGTCATTCCCTACTTCGTGTCATCATTCCCTACTTCGTGTCATCATTCCCTACTTCGTGTCATCATTCCCTACTTCGTGTCATCATTTATCTCACCGATTTTCTTTCTTTTTTTGTTATATATCTTACAAATCCATCTATGAACCTTCACTCCACCGCTGATTGGTTAATGCTATTTGGTCTGGCCACTTGAGGTCCTTTGTCCAACGTGGTCCAGAGATCATTAATCACAGATGGTTACAAATAAGGGAGACAGGAAGCTTGTTGGCGCCTTGGGTACGAGAGAAGAGAAGAGAAGAGAAGAGAAGAGAAGAGAAGAGAAGAGAAGAGAAGAGAGATCCCAGTGGTGCTCTACAGGCTATATTCTAAAACTAATTTACTACCATGATTTTTAGGGCTACACCTGCACGCTTCACCTCACCACCCCGTCAGTATCATAAGTGTGTGTGTGTGTGTGTGTGTGTGTGTGTGTGTGTGTGTGTTTTGGGGGATGTTATGATAATAGCCCTCTCTCTCTCTCTCTCAATTCAACCCGTTCATAAACACCGAATATCTACAATTTTTATTCATTTCTCCATTAGTTTCTTTTTTATTATATAAGTTATTTTATCATTCCAATTGACAAACTTACTTCCTCGTGACGTCTTAATGAATGTTCAGAACGCTTCTAATCGGGGTGGTGGAGTGGGTGGGGGGCTTGGGAGGGGTGAAGGGCGAGGGTTGTGGAGTGGGTGGGGTGGTGGGTGGGGAGGGGTGGTACTATAACTTGTTCCAATGTAATATACAGCTCAACATCACCTCCCATTAATATATGATTCTCGCCCATGTCGCTCTGGTTGGGGAACTGATTTTTTTTTTTACTGATATGATAAAAATAACTTAGTATCATTTCTATGTTACCGTGAAATGATTATCCTTATCTTATTAATCTTTAACTTTGTGGGATATATACCTGAATCAAACATGTATATTATTACCTATTATAAAATCAATGTAATATAGCGTTGTATAGCCTCTCCTACCCCCTCTGAGATGAGTAAAATCCTCTGGCGTTAATTAAATAAAATATTCAAAGTGGCGTCCGAGCATGTACGTATGTATGTATGTATGTATGTATGTATGTATGTATGTATGTATGTCTTCAATTATCACCATTAAAATCATCATCATCATTTCTTTTTGTTTTTTAAAATTAGTTTCATTGGAAGTGTTTTGGTAGTTGAACAGAGGAGAAAGACTAAGAGTTTATGTTATTGCAAAGAGGAGAAAGACTAAGAGTTTATGTTATTGCAAAGAGGAGAACGACTAAGAGTTTATGTTATTGCAAAGAGGAGAAAGAGTAAGAGTTTATGTTATTGCAAAGAGGAGAAAGACTAAGAGTTTATGTTATTGCAAAGAGGAGAAAGAGTAAGAGTTTATGTTATTGCAAAGAGGAGAAAGAGTAATGATGACCAGGGTGTAATTGGGCAGAAAAATAACAATGTGAAAACTATAAGGCTCAGGGAACAAGCACACACAGAGAGACTAATGGTTCAAACACACAATGGTTCTTAAGCTCCGTGTAATTGAAGTGTTTGTTACAGCCTTTAAATCCACAAAATGTAAAAAAAAAAATAAAAAATATTGAAGAATTATAAGAGAACGTAACTTAATGTGATATGAAAGTGTATAAAAAATATATTCGGTCAGTATAAATTAGGGTTATGTTAGGTTAGGTTGGGTTAAGTGTTAGGTTAGGTTAAAGAGAACACAAGAATTCGTTAATCAACAAATTCTTTCCCTCAGAACAAACTACCAGACCAGGATAGAATAAATTAGTTTATTTTAGCCAACAGATAAGAAATATATTCAGGATTCTTCAGTTTATTTCACCTAACCTAACCTAACCTAACCTAACCTAACCTAACCTAACCTAACCTAACCTAACCTAACCTAACCTAACCCAACCTTCCTGGCATCACTACAGGTATGAGTATCCAACAATCAAATCACCATGTCGTTAACTATCCACAAAGTACTGTACATCCTTGACCCCTAACAGTGCCTTTGATATTACCAGGGGAAGATAACCTCTACTGATATATAGTACTTAAGGTCCACACGTGTAATTATTAATTCCTCTCATTTATCTTTCATTCTATAAAGACTAAATAAAAATAATATAACTCTTACACCGTCATAAAGGTAATGGAAATTTTTCGAGGGGGGAAGACAACAAGTAACCTAACAAACCTCAGGTAAGAATCATGGAAAATTACAGGTAACCTAACAAACCACAGGTAAGAATCATGGAAAATTACAGGTAACCTAACAAACCTCAGGTAAGAATCATGGAAAATTACAGGTAACCTAACAAACCTCAGGTAAGAATCAAGGAAAATTACAGGAACCAACAAACCCCGGTAAGCAATCATGGAAAATTACAGGTAACCTAACAAACCTCAGGTAAGAATCATGGAAAATTACAGGTAACCTAACAAACCACAGGTAAGAATCATGGAAAATTACAGGTAACCTAACAAACCTCAGGTAAGAATCATGGAAAATTACAGGTAACCTAACAAACCTCAGGTAAGAATCATGGAAAATTACAGGTAACCTAACAAACCTCAGGTAAGAATCATGGAAAATTACAGATAACCTAACAAACCACAGGTAAGAATCATGGAAAATTACAGGTAACCTAACAAACCTCAGGTAAGAATCATGGAAAATTACAGGTAACCTAACAAACCTCAGGTAAGAATCATGGAAAATTACAGGTAACCTAACAAACCTCAGGTAAGAATCATGGAAAATTACAGGTAACCTAACAAACCTCAGGTAAGAATCATGGAAAATTACAGGTAACCTAACAAACCTCAGGTAAGAATCATAGAAAATGTTTATCGTTTCATCAAATCAAAACAAATGGCTGGACAAATGGTGGGACAAATAGGAAAATGTAGACAAATGGTGACAAATGGTGGACAAATGGTGGGACAAATGGCTGGACAAATGGTGGGACAAATGGCTGGACAAAATCACAACTATCATCACAACCCAACCAAGTAGATGAATCCTTAGTACACAATATGAAACATCAATCACAATGTCCTTAAGTGATGATGAGTTATTAAGGACGCGTGTACAAGGAGCGGTAGGTGAGTCAGGAGGAGGAGGAGGAGTTAAGGATATCCTATTCTAAGATGAGATCCTTCAGGGTGTATGGAGGTGAGGGAGGAGGAGGGGTGCTTGAAGGTGAAGGAGGAGGGGTAAAGGGTGCTTGAAGGGGGAGAGGGGGGTGCATGGAGGTGAGGGGTGCTTGGAGGTGAGGGAGGAGGAGTGAGGGAGGAGGGGTGAGGGGTGCTGGAGTGAGGGAGGAGGGGTGAGGGAGGAGGGAAGAGGGAGATGATGTGAGAGACAGTACCGTACACTTTAAGAGGAAAGGAAGAAAACATTTTAAAAGAACTAACAAAAAAAAAATCTTCTCACTACAATTATTTTCCCTTCTACACCATCAGCCTCGCCACTAGTCCAACATCCACACGAACATACAACATCCACACACGAACATACAACATCCACACGAACATACAACATCCACACCATACCAATCAAAATACATCCCATCGCGTTGTGAAATG